GAGACGGGTATAACTCTCCTCCGATGTGGCTAAAATGCGAAACCGCATATGTCTGCACACCTTCAACTCCAAGTGAAACGGTCTTAACTTTGAGTGAACTAACCTTAACTACAAGTGAGTCCGTCGAAGGGTCAAAAGAATCCAACCAATTACATTATGCTGGTAACCATAAGAAATGACTGGTGCTTCAGCAGTAACACGTCACCGATTGGGGTGGATCTATCAAAACACTGTGGCGTGTGGAAGTCTCTTCCATCTGATGTAGTGTGTGCTCCTACAGTTGACTTATTTATATTGCAACTTCATAAAGCATTGCCACACTTAAAATTTCAACATCCGGGAGTGATCATGCAAATTGTTATTATTACTATATTCTTTGTGAAGTTATTCAAAATATTCTGTAAAAACCCTATGGGACATGATAAGCTTTAACTTTGTTAAATCGCCCATAACAAAACTTTTTTCTACCTGAATGGCGAGATCAAATTTGATCTCATTCACTAACTGACAGAAATCACACTTTTTGTCTGTAACACCCGGATAGACTATTGCGCTCTATCCACAATGCCAATGACAGCAGCCTCCCAATTGCAGCTTTTATCTTTGCTACTCATCTTCGCCGTATATCTTAATATCATAACTCATATTCAGAGCATCTTAATGTCCTCCAGATAGATGGAAACAGAACAGTACTAAACAGGAACAGGGAGTAGCACTGTGTTATCAAGGCAAGAATATACACGTTCGATGGACAAAGACGTAACAAAACCGAAACGACCCAGGTCTCCAGGTGCAAATACTGTCACTCGCCACCGGTGTCATCACGAGGAGATCTGTTATTCATTCATGTTTCTCACACCCACATCTACCGTGTCTGAGTTACTTACCTACTGTAAAATAAACTCTGCCTCATATTGACACTCACATACGCACACCCAGTACTACTATCCTATTGACCATTGTCCTTCTTTGACCGTGTTTTGTTGATTTCATCCCTTCATAGTATGTTTGCTCCATTACGTTGTCCTGTCGGTTTCACCCGTCTCCTCGACCCGTTCCCATGATCGACTGGCTGACGCCTGTGTACACATACGCACACACCTACGCCGATTTACCGCAGCCCTGTCACGGCGGGCCCTAATGACTAACACCCACTGCGTTTTGATTGGTTCCCTCTAGTTCACTTCCCACCATTGACCAGTACGGATTCACGTGATCTTGTTCGACCAGAATGAACAAACCCGGTGGTAATTGGCCTCGGTCGGTCGAGTAATGAAGCGAGTCACGTCAGAAGGGACTGATAAATCGGTCACCATGCTAAGACGTGAATGTTGGAATGACCCATTGCATGGCTGGGTTCACTCTGGGCCCTCAGTAGCCTAGTGAATAAATTCCATCGAGGAAGAGGTCCCCTCGAACAAAACCGATTCCATTGAACTAAATGCAATTACCTTCATGTCTGGCATTGAAAAGTACAACTGACAAGATACTCAACAAGCTATCATCTCTTATAGAATCATGGATAACTGAGTTCTCATCACCACATCCCACTCATTGAACTATTAGATTGGCACAGATGCTCTCAGGCTGTGAAACGATGCGTCGCAGACGACAAATGACGATAAAGTAAGCGACGAACCATAGGTGACAGGTTGTTGCATTTGGCATTGTGTAAAACCCATTAGTCAACTCAGAAATTACGACGAAATGTAATTTCTGCTAGATATTGAATGATTTCATTGGGCGGTAGTGGCCCGGTGGTAACGTCACCAAATTGTCACCCCGGGGAGATGTTCGAATCCCACCACTGTCGCCTGACTTTGCCCATTGTTTTGAATGGCAGTCCTTTGATTGACCGCTTTCCCCCTTCCTGAAAATTGTACCATTGCATGTTCAATGAGAGGAAGTAAAAATAAGATTTTTTTAAAAAAGATCAATATAATCTTGCTATTCAGGTGTAATGGTTTTTATTCTTTCATTATTTCACTGGAGACAAGTGTTAGGTTGTTTTGTCGTATCGGTTGTCGAACTGCAAGTCCAATTAGAATATGTCTGTCCTCTGACTTAGGCAGAAAAGATTGCGGTCAAAGTGATGATATTTCAAGCATAACCCGATTCATAATTACGTTTGGGAAGTTATCCACCAACCTTTCGGGGTGATCAGGAAAACGGTTAGCAGATTTGCATTTAAACACACCATGTAATTCGTCATAGACAAAACACTGACGAAAGCAATAAGTGATTTCCGCGATGTTTGTATTGAATGGGCAGCTGGAGAAATCATGTGCGATTTAGAGTATGAGAGAATACCTTTCCCTGAGGCACACATCGAGAAACATTTACTTTTCGCCTTGCTACTTTTTCACACACACACACACACACACACACACACACACACACAGAACACGACGGTTTTCCAACGCTATTTTTCATTGAGGTATAAGCAGGTACTTCTAAGTCATACGCAGAGAGATTTGGAGAAGTCGGAAAGGCTTGATGTCAAAGGACCTTAAAGGACTCCCATATTCTGAAATTAGGACCCCTCTTAGGGAAAAGTACCCTGATCATTATGATAGGTGCTACTCAGGATCTGATTCAGTTCAGCTCAGTTTCAACAACCGTCAAGCATTGCGTCGCTTTGGCGGCCCATTTGGGTGAACAATAGGAGGAAAACAGAAAGGTTGGAAGTAGGATCTAAGAGAAAATTAAGCTGTGGATTAATGATGCAAGGAATTGGAGATGAGCGGACGCCACTGTTTACCACAGCCATATCACTCAATGTCTCCAACCATTGGGTACGATCTTCCTGAGGTCCCCAGGGAGCCTAACGGTACCTGTGACCAATACTCCTGGTTGGGGTTTTCATGCCCTCATGCCAGGTCTTAGCTTGACCACCCTTGGCTTTATTCCACCCACTACCAGTCTCGGCAAACATCGCTCGCCGTGGCAACCTATTTGGTGGCATGCGTAACATATACCCCAATCAGCCCAATCTATGGAGGTTGACGACTTGCTCCAATGGCGACCGGGATCCGATTCGCGTCTTAGAAATGAACTGCGGTCTCTCACACTATTCTGCACTTTTATAACTGTTTCGGTATCCAAAAGCTCCAAAAGACTAATAACTTACTCATTTCGGTGGGTTTTTGAACATTTGAAACGATGCAAGACTGTGCTGATTCAGACCACTGCGCTCTGTATGGTCAGAAAGTGATTATAACTGATCGCTTCTGCTACTTAAGCAAAGGTGCAGTCAAGGTAATCGCGCATATTTTCAAGGCTCAAGCGGCGAACTTAAACTGGAATAAATTTGACGTCGAGGTAACGTTACTTGGTAATCGAAAGGTCACTTTTATGGTGAAACAAGGCAGTTCGTATACCCTCAGTTGATTGCAAAACGCATAAAGACCGTAGGTCTTTTTCACCATAGATGTCTGCTTAAGACCGGTGCAGCGAGGAGTTACGCCGTGTATATGATGCTTGATTTGGGTGTTTTTAGTGAAAAAAGAGCTTTCACGCCAAATACGCGGTTATGCATTCTTTTTCCATTGTAAACGAAACTACAGTTGCCACCACGTTGAAATCAACAAATGTGGATACGAAGCAAAAATGCTGGAAAAAATAAGATGTATTGAATTTTTAGTTGCTGCCAAAAGCAACTGGTCGGTTGGATGCCCCAAAGGATACAGCTGCAAACCGATGGTAGGCGATCGAGTCGTTCACTCCAAGCACTGTTAGGGTGTATTCTCAACCTGTTAGTCACAGAGCTTCACCCTTCCCCTCGATAAAAACATGAGTCAACTTTCCACCCAAAATCCGCATCCGTACTTGCACTGTGTAGGTTGTGGACTAGGAAGTGGATTTAGCCTCAATGTACGAAAATCGGTTTTAGATCCTAGACTGAGAGAACTCATGGCTTTTGGTCCTCAAACTATCCATGGGCTTTATTGAATAAGATAATGGTAACTATATGATGTTTGCCACAATCTAGAACACCATGAAGAGCGGATACTACTAGCCTTGGAGTGATGAACTGAGAAAAACCTTGAGTCCACTCACAGGATCTTTGAATCTCATAACTCACGTCCTAAGACCCAGAATGGGGAACAAAATTAGAATTAATATTAGCAACTAATTTTCCGAATGGCCGATTGAAGCGGGTCAACGAAACTTGAGCATTAACACAGAAGACTAATCGCTGCATTAATGGTATCACTGAATTGAGTGCTCGCAACTCATAATGACCTACTGGCAGGTCAACTGAGGGTGCTGGCTGTTCTTCCCGAAGTCGTTCAAAGCAGGATAGGCGATAACAGGCAACGATGGTTTACTGGAATACTTAAGTGGGGAAGGATATAAGCTTCCCACCTAATGTGAGAGACACTTCGCTGTGTTCGATTAAAAGTGCGAAACCAATCGAGGTAGTAGCAAGCAAAGGTTGATGTATGTCAGATAAGTATAGACAATGGTTAAATACTGATATATACAATTCGGTTCGGTATTACGAATTTTCAACCCCTCGGTGTCCCAGGAATCTTTGATATGGTATTTCTGGTCGTCCATAATTCCATCCACGTGTCATTGCGCTGAATCCGGAAATCCTCAGATGCCTTGACATATCGACGTCCAGATCGCCTTGCAGTCCACCTTCTCTTCTGGTTCCAACAATTTGGGGCATATCGAGAACTCTTTGCAAATGAACTCTTTACATTGCTCTGTGTTAGAAAAACCGAGGGAATCTGCAACATATGATAGACTTAACGCCGGTCGGAAACTACCCAAGTGGTCAAATGTATCAAAACCATAATGGAAGGAACCATACAGCGATTAGAGAAAATTGGGAGCAAGGTCGAGCAAAATATAGAGGTGGTGAATTTGTCCAATGAGAAAACACGTTGGAAAATGGAAGGAACCCAAGGAAGTTCGCGAACATTCGACGTACGCCACGAGCAGGGGGAAAAAACAGAAGATTTGCGGTTGATGAAATAGACATGGAGTGATCAAAAAATGGGAGGTGATCGCAAAAGTAGAACGCTTAACACTGAACACTTCTCAATCACTCCATGAAATGTATCCGTTACATGTAAAAAAAACTTTATTTACACTTCCAATATGGACTGTCGAAAGGATTGGAACTCATACTCAATTGGAACTAATATTTCCGGTAATTGAACTCCTGGAATTCAGAGGCAGATAATCGAGACTCGTAATTTGAATTTCTAACGTGATTACGAAAAAGTTTAAGTATGCTCACTTTATATACTATTTATCTAAGCTCATGGTGGTGGTAGACAGCTTTGCCGTCGATCGGTTCAATACTACNTTATGTGGTTCACCACTCCAAGTCCCGGGGCTTAGGTTACCGATTTCCATGACGGAGCAGCAGGTTTTTGTGACTATGTAGTTCGCCCCGTCTGCTGTTCACCACACAAATGTGTAATAAAAAATGCGTCATTTGCTAAACACGACCTAACCAATATCAAGATTAGATGGAAATCAGTGTGAGGAAGGTAAATTTCCACCGGAATCAGAACGATTCGGACCGAACTGACAGTCACGCATTTGTTCTTGAAATAGGATCGCTCACTTAGTTCAACTTTCGAGATTATCCAACTAACGGCCCACGGTAAGCAATCAAACCGTGGTTATTAGAGATGAAGTGGACAGATTAGTTTATCGACACCCTATGAGCACGTCAGATGTACCATCGGTTGAAGGATGGTTCAATGATGGCTCCTTACCAAAGAAACCGCACAGCAAGGAAAGAAGCAACCAAGGACTTCTGGTATGCTTCAGTGCTATACGTGTAAGTGATTTCTCAGAATCAACTGACGCTTACAGTTGAGAAAGCGAATAAGACCATAACCTAAATGGCCGACTTTTGCACATTACTTCAAGGCATAAGCCACAAAGATATGCAACCGTAAAAGAAGTGCATTGAAGTGGTGTACGCACACTTTTAAATAGGTCTTAACAGCTTCCTTTCGTTCCCGGTCGAGGAACCAGTGAACGACTTGTGCACAACGCATTGGTGGCTGATCACTGGAAGATGAAGGATATACAAGCCGGAAAAACCGCTGGTAATTGTTAAGGGACCACGCCGAACGAAGCTCTAAAGCAAAACGAATACATGGATTCGATTTGTGAGTTGGTCGCAGACCAGCCATGATCGTGTTGATACCTGTGAAATGGGAATGAAACAGAAATATGAATCAAGTAGATGGATTTGGTGACAGAATTGAGTAACTCATACGACGTGGTTTGATTCATTTGTAAAACATGTTAGCACAGCTAAAGAAAAATTGTCACATCCTGCATCTCAGATTGTGAATAATGAAACCATTCAGAAGGACATGAAAAATGATTACTTTTTATTCGTAACTAATAGTTCAAAATATACTGACACTAGCATGCGAGAGTTCGTTCCACGTTTTAACCTGACTCTGCCGGTTCTTAACGACACTAACCATTGAACTAACTGCCATTATTTTGGTTTTCTTTAAAGAGACAGAGGACAAGTGAGAAACAAAACGGTGACGTGTGAACTCGGAAAAACTCAGAGCATGTGAAAACATTGAATGGTGACATTTATTTATTTTCTTACGGACGATAATCTACCGGGAATGAGATACCAATAATACTCTACAAATTCAGCACGACTGAGCGCCCACAAAATATTTAAATCTAATATGAAATAAACCATCGATCAAACCGGCCATGTTTCATTTTAATGAACGAACTCTAGCATTAGGTAGAGTAATAGGTACAAACTCACCTAAAAGATCAAGAGTAAACATATAATATAGTAACCTATAAGCGGTAAACTCCAGCAATCTTGAGGAAGGAGCACCTTCTTTATAGAGGCGCAGCAACTGACTCTGGCACTGATGGAACTCTTCAAAGTCACCAGCTTCCAATGCTGCATCTGCGTGCGATTCATACACAGCAACGGCAAATTCGTCTTCAATCCCCTGAACCTAAGGACAGATAATTCAGAAAACAAAAGTCACTCGAAAATAAACTGTCGCATCGTTATATTTGTGATTTCACAAGGTGAATAATAATGTTTTAGTCTCTAGGCTACATTCTACTGACCACGAATGGGACGAAAACGTCAACAGTAATAGAGAGCAGTCAAAGACGGACCACAAACCGTGTTTTGCTACTAAAACAGCGCAGTTTTTCTGAAAGCTGAAAATAAACTCTACGAACAACCTTTCTGAAAGGAGCCACGTAAAATGGGGAAACAAAGTATTATAATTGAGCTAGCTTTCTGTGAAAGGCATCGTTTAGGAGAATGGTAGGGGTTATGCCTGACGTTTTTTGCATAGCATGGAACTACATAACTCGCAGAAGTCTGAATTCGGTCGTTGATATTTTGGGTATAATGAGAACGTCTACAGTCTCAGTTTCAATCTTTACAACCATTACCATACACTTTCGTTCGCCGGGTTTGGTTGCTGTCATTTGGCTGCCATTATTGAAATGAAGAGCAGAATGAAGATTGCGATGTTGAAAGCTAATTCAACCGGAGAATAGAGAATTCAGAAGAATGAATAGATGTATTGAGAGCCACCATTTGCGACACTCAACTGAATTGGGCGGTGTCTCATTGGTGACCGTGATCTCAAGGTCCCCAGTCAGGGAGCCTACGGGACGTATATGAGCCAGCCTCTTGGTCAGGGTTTTCATACCACATTCCAGATCTGCGTTGCACCTTCCCTGACGTTTTCCACCGCTATCTCCTCCAATAAACACCGCTTGACTTGGCAACCTTTAATGAAATTTACTGATTACCATTTTTATCAAAGGTAAAGTTTCAGGATAGAAATCACGCTATGATCACTGGAATGGAATTTCCACGGATGTGGTAACAAAGTGGTAAGATAAAAATATCGAAATGGAAAATCACTCAAAGTTACGGAAAACAACCAATAGGCTTCATCTGTACCATGTTTGCCGCAGTAAGCATCAGGCTAGTGAAGAACTAATAT